AGCCGGGTGGGCAGCCTGCAGAGATGGGAGCTCCTTCCCTAGGAGCAGGGCAAGGGCAGCGCTGCACAGGGCTCAAGGACGTCCCTTTGCCCAGCTCGTCCCAGCAGCTGGGGAACCGGCAGGACATCCCCAGGCAGGTGCTGGCTGCTTCCCTGCCACCACAGATATCAGCGAGTGTCCTGCTACGACCACTGTGCCATACCCTGCAGGACACCCCACAGGCTGACGTGTCCCTGAGTGAGGGACTGGCATGCACATGGTACCCACACGTGACAGTCCTGTTAGGCCACCTCAGCACCGGCCGTCACAGGATCCCAGCACGGGCACCGTCGCCCGCTCCCACCCACGGGTGCCTAAAAAAAAGGGCCAGGCAGTGGGTTCTCCACAATTTTTGGGGAGCAGGATGGACAGCAACATACCCATTGTGCTGGGGGGTGGAGGTGGGCACCAGGGGCGCGTACGTCACAGGTTTCGTCACCAGCCCGGGCTGTGGGTTCGGAGGCGAGCTGGCCCCAAAGGGCCGAGCTGTTTTGTTGAGGGCGGTGCTGGGAGCGAAGTTATATTTCAGGGGTTCAGAGCAGGGGAGTGAGTCCTGAGCGAGACAAAACACACAGACACGGGCTCACACGTCAAGCAGCATGCAAGGGACAGGCAGCACAGCCGGCAGCCAGGTAGGAAAGCCGGGCAGCACGTGCACCATGGGTACCAGGCTCTGCCAGGCTGGCACCTCTCTCCGTCAGGCTAGCAACAGCAGCTCACAGGCCTGGCCCGAGGATCGCTGGAGGATTAGTAAGTGCCCTGGATGCTCGCTGCTGCCCGCAGCGGGGCGGTGCATGCACACACGCTGAGCGCAACCGTCCCATGGTACAGAGCTGAACGCACGCAGGCGGCTGCTGACCAGGAGCCACCAGACACTGGTCCCAGCCCTGCCTCCCTGCACCAGGGCACTCCCCAGCACTTGCAAACATGGGGCCCCGAGGCCGTGCTGCAGCTGCCCAGCCTCCACCCGTGTCAGCCCCTCCGCACCCCCTGCCTGCACCCAGCACCGGTGGGGCACAGACAGGCAGCGGCAGGGGCCCCCGCCCCCCCCGGGCCGA